CGGTGAGTCTGAAACTAGTCTGAAACTCTTCAGTGATTTTCTCTAGTTTTCTTTTAAAATAACCTTTTCTTTGGAATAAAACTAGTACTTTTAGGTCTTTCAAGTAAGTATACACAAACGAAGCTAATTTTGATACAAACAATCCATGAAATATTAGGATTACTATTTTGGTCCCTATCAACAGCCTAATTGTATCTAAATTTTCTAAACACAGTTTGACTCTCTACTTCAATGATCGAAGCAGATACACCCAACGTTATGTTTCATGATGAATTTATTTACTACCATCTTGTACAAGCAAACTTATAAGGTGAAAACAGCTTAAATTTTTATTTTCATTTTCAGTTGACGATAGCTTGATGATTGTTAACTAAGACATAAAAAAGAATTTGTCTAGAAAGCAATAAATTTATGTGCGTGTGTATTGTTTTCTGTTACAATTATTAAGTGGTATTTTGAATTTTAATGACTAGTAAATCACTATTTAAGTAAATAAAAATACTGTCAGTTGATCCATCTTAATTGATTACATGCATGTACACTTGATCTTCATCATTAGTTCACTTTATCAATGTAAAAACTTGCCACTTCTTCCAATTTCATAGAATTTTTCTTTCGGAGTGCAGTGAATACAGCTAATTCTACTTTGTCTAAATTAATAAAGGGGGGGGTGGAATACGAAAGAATTAAACAACACCTTAACAAATTTAATGAGTGAAAAAAAAATGAATAGAAATGTTGTATCTTATCCGATTCATGAAGGTATGCCTCTGTCTGTGATTTGTCTTTTCCGTCCCATTTTCTCTTTCTGGCGAATGATTATCACCAAGGTAATAATAACAGTAACATTTTTAAGGAAATGGGGTTAGGTGTAGTTGTTTCAATTAGCACCTTTATCTCTACTGTCATATGCATGGTAAATGAATTTGAAAAGCCATTTATAAGTTGAAACTTCGTTATATGGAAGTTGTCAGTCGTAGTTTAGTCCGCAGGATTGGCCAAATCGCTCTGATCTATACATTTGTTAGGGTATTTGTAAAAATATCATTTCAATTATAGTAAAGAAAATTAAATATCTTACTGGTTGTATTAGTATATCTATTTATTTGTTTGTTTAACTTCTATATACCTGGAATGAATTTCAACTGTGCAGCTGATAAAAGGATTATTCATTATGTAAACTATATCTTCATTTGAATAAATCAGAATTCAGCATTGATAAGCATCTTAAAAGTAATTTTATGATAGAAAGAAATGCAGGACAAGTGATGATAAATATCAAAGAAATGATTTTTTATCACTAACTGATATTACTTGACAAATAATTGGAACCCAAGACAGTTCCTGCATGATGTGTATTCGTAATCATACACTTAAGTTGGTAAAAAATGAATTACTAGAAAACTTTTGTTTTTGCCTCTAAAACATTGTCACTATAACAATTGTCAGTATAGTTTTTGTGGATGTTATGGCTTTATGTCCGGCTTTTTATCACGTGATTTATCCACCAATCAAAATACGACTTATACAATCTTCGCACTATGACAAAACCAATGACGTTCGACCAGTATGAGCAGCCTAGCGTCTTATTTGGTCCTATGTCTGCCTAGGCCGTTCACTTGAGTCCAGAACAGAAACATCAGCTACCGCAATATGAATTATTTATTTCAAACATACTCGGTTTATATATCAACCAGACAGACCACAGCGTACCGTAAAATAGGAAATAACATTTGTACAATATTTGGCCAAATGTGGCTGTGAACGTGGGAGGCGGTAGTCAATAAAATGAACATAGCTTAGGAACCGTAATTCGTACAACAATAAATTAAAGGTCAAAATAAAACTTATAATAAGAGGAATATAAATATACATAATCTAATTATTGAATAATTATACCATAAGAATGTATAGATAATATTAGCCAATTAATATGTCTCAGGAGTTACTCGTGATTTAATCTTCGCTCGGATATAACAGTGGACATTTTTTTTCTATCGTAATTCAAATCAGTATGATATGACTATGAGTGTTCAGTAGAATTGATTCATTTCAACAAAACATTAAATGTAATAACACGAGCACATTAGTAATTTAGCAGTATAAATGCTTTCCATATGAATACTATGAAGAGCAATGATGTTTCGTATATTTCAGGAACATTCTTAAGTGTATGCAAAAAGGTATTTTTAAACTATTTTCGTATAAAAGCTTTTACTAAATTAACATTAGTAAATAATGAAGTTTATTCTGAAAACGTTAACCATTCACATAGAATGAATTAATAATTATACATATTCACTCTTGGGTTGATAACTCGATAGTATTTGTTAACTTAAACAGTTAATTAACGTAGAAAAAAGAACCAAATAATTGAGAAATGTAACTATAATAAGTAGTATACGTTGATAATCAGAATACACTTTGTAATTAGTCTGAAACAATTTGGATAAACCATGTTTAAAATCAGTTTATTTTTGACACCAAACATTTATTTCTAGGTTTATTGTGATAATTTCCTTGTTAAAATAAGTTGATAAATAAACTCAAATGTAAATTAGTGTGTTTATTATTGTTGTACAAATTTGTGTATTTAAGATTATTATCAGAAGGCGGTTTTGTGGAGATTTTAGTAATTTAATAGTTGAATTCATAAGTCAATTAAAGCAAGACCACCATGAATAACCTGGAAGCACTGGTCGGCCGTTTCGTCCTAGTGTGAAACTCCTCAGGATTGCGCATCTACGATCCCGCCAGCGTGATTCGAACCCTGAACTTATTAGTCCTATCGCGAACGCTCAACCACTAGATTATCAAATGAAACACGAATGTATATTATTGTGTAACTTGAAAACGTGTATATTGTAATCTATAAACATTTAACATCACAATGAAGGCATCAGAATTTCAGAATCGTAAAACTGGAAAAAAGACAGTTGTCATATTTATTACTGATACACTTGGAATAAGTATGAAAGTAACTTCTTTGATGAACATTCAACGAATTCTTCACGTTGTACGAATATGATTTAGTAAAGTGCTTTGGTATTTCTTGAACACAGTTGAATATAGCTTCTATCATCGAATGATAGCTTGTGTTATAGGTGACTAAAAATCAGGGAAGAGACGTTTCATTCTAAGTAGAAATTATATATTATTTTCCATGATTTAAATTATCTCAAGGCAGACATACACTATCGTTCAGTTGGTGGATTGAAATTCAAATACAAATGCATTCATGGCATATCTAGACCATCATCTTTGAGATCTGATATTCACTTCAGAACTAAGATGGTTATTCTGTGATTTCATCAGATAATTGTTGCAGTATATTGTTCATGAGTAAAGTTAGATGTTAAGAGTTTTTTAGTGATTCACTTCTCAAGCAGTAGCATGTAGTTAGTAGGATGTAAGTGTTTTAAGTTCTCAGACAGTAAAGACAGTCAATGAGTTTTGAAGAGGAACAGTTCCAATGAGCATTTTACATTCCTTTTTTAAACTTATCATAAATTTTATTTTATATAGCTAAGCATAAATTATTACCTACTTACTTACATCTGTTAGCCCGCGTGGAGGAGCCTATGCCGCCCATAAGGATTCCCCATCAATCTATGCATAAATTATGCTTCCAGAATATCCAGAATAGAACCCATATTATTTTATTTTATAGTCTTCGTTTACCGTTGATATTTGGCAAAAGTAAATTTACACAAAAATGAATAGTTGTGTTTGGTACACTTGATTTATCAGAGACATACGAATGACAAGATTACGAAAATTATCACACAGAAACTAAAATGAGTTGAGTAAAGTGATTGAAAAAGGTATATATTTATATTCTACACGATGCAATTTTTCAATCCTCAATGAACCACGTTTTTTTTATCAGCTTGAAAAAACACTTTAAGCTATTCAAATATTGGTTATATTACTCATGAGTAACGACAATCTGTGAGTTATAAAACCAGTTTCATTAATTTTAGGCGCAATCTTAGCAATCCATTTTTTTTGTTTCAGACACTAATCTTCTGTTTGACTAGAGCTTATATTTTGTAAAATGGAGGATACATTAAAGCATCTTAAATGATGTTGTCACATTGCTCTATGGAAGAAAGGAAACCTATTAATTTATTTTTAGTCTAACTAGTAACAAAAAAATATCTCCGAAATCTGATTGCTACAATAAGCTGTTTTCTTGTTTAATAACTTCAAAGTCTACGTGTATGTTTGTATAAAAAAAGAGAGGGTGTATAGGCATAACTTTTAACGCGATGATTTTTAAAAGTTGCTTAACCAGTGGAAAATTTTGCTCTTATGTTTTATATGAATTAAGACTTTATTTTCAAAACCTTTAGACAAACAACCTGACAAATGATTTATATGACTGCTTTTTGTTCAACTGTCATTAATTTTCTTTTTCTACCTAAACTCACTGTTCAACCGAAAAATTTCATACTGAAAGGAAAAAAAACAAACAAACGGATAAATATATTTTAATAAGGGAACGATCTAAAATGCAAGACAAGATGGAGAAATTAGATGTAATATATTTGCAGTACCCAATTTTCGTCAATAATAACTTCCATAGGTACTTCATCATAATATCAGATGGTCATAGTGGCAACCAAGTCAACTATTTTCCGAGCGCCGAAATCAAAATTAAAATCTAATTATCGTTACGTACGGTAAAAGTTTTATTTTGATCATACATGAATGACGATCACTGTTAAAATAAAACTGATTATAGGCGGGGTGAGGCTCTGTTAACGTAAGGGATTTTGGTTAAATGTTATAATAGCTAACCCATAAACCTCAGCTACCACTTGTAAAGTTGTCAAGTACTAGACATAAGCTTATTATGTTAGTATTCCCCATTAGATAATAATCAAATATGTACGGAGTTTAAAAGCTTTATTCGTACTTAATAATAATAATTATATAATATAGTGGATTAATCATCTATCTTTTAACTGTTTTTCACTTTATATATAACAATTCAGGTCTTCGGCCATTTATTTGTCGTATATGTTCCAAAGCTTTCAAGCATAAACACCATCTAACAGAACATAAACGTTTGCATACTGGTGAAAAACCATTTGAATGTCAAAAATGCGGTAAACGTTTTAGTCATTCCGGATCATATTCTCAACATATCAATCATCGTTATAAATATTGTCAATCATAAATCATGTTCAACGTGCCAATGGTTTTGATCAATAACCTGGTTATTTTTTAACTTTTCTTTTTCTATGACAATCTAGAGAATGTACAAGTTGTGATTGATTTATTTGTCTTGGCTTCTTTAATTTAATACTTTGGTTTTAGTTTAACACTGATCATGTTGTTCATTTCCCAAATAATTTTCAAAAATTCTTAAAATTTTAAATTAAAAAATTAACTTCATTTCATAACATAGAACTTTTGTCCCAGTTACTGACTGAATGATGTAATTTCAAGAGGTTTGACTTTAACTGACTTGCGTTTGTGTCCTTCTTCCTTTCCAAGTATTTAAATATTAAGTATGAAGAGATAAAAAAGATTCCATTCGTTCTTTATTTCTCTTTCGATTATTACATATTTCGCAAACTTATGAAAACCGTGGGCTGGAGAATAGAAAAAAGACGTATTCTTTAATATTTTCTGTAATTTACTTCTTATTCAGCTTATCACTCCTCTAATTCTTCCCCTCCAAATTTATGATGTGTTTTGTCTTTTTTTTTCAGTAACCTTCAACATTGGATAGAACATTAGAACAGAACAATACAGATGTGATAATGCTCAATTACATAAATATTTTTTGTACAGTTATTGCCTACTAACCTCACATTCTTTATATTACGGTCTAATCAATGCATTCAACTTTTTCCCCTTAGACTTCTACCACCAAATACATTATCGACGATTTGTACCGATTTAATATCGGTTCCTAGTTAGATGTATTCAAATAAATGAGTGCATTTTTTGTGACAAAAACTTACTAGAAACAGAACAGAAATCGGCAAAAGATAAATGTCTGAAACAGAATTATTTCCGTACATTTATGTTTCTCTCATTTCAATGAACAATGAAGAAAAAGAATACATGATTAGTGTATAGTTTTCGTTTATTTTTTCCGAGTTTTGAAAAAAAACAACAACTGCCAATCAAATGATTTTGTATTCTTGAATGTAATTCAGACTTTTTTTCAAAATTCTAATATAAACTACACTACTAGTATGTGACTTTAATGTTGAATTGTATGAATTATTTAGTGACATGGTCAGACAAATAGTATAATTATCAATATTAGACTTCAAGGAATAAAACAGCCGGTTTTGTCATTCTCCCAATTCATCTAAGAAAATTATGATAATTATACAACAATATAATTTTTGAGTTGAATATGAAAGAGACTTACTAGAATGATTATTTAACTCCAAAATCTTCAGATTATATATGAAGTATCCATGATGAATGAAATAAATGATAAAAAAAGTGAGATAAGACTTGTTTTCACAATTTTGTTATTCACCAAACTATGTAAATAGTTTTCTGTACAAGGTGAATTGGTGAACATTTCACATGATATAGGTTTTCAAAGAGTTATCCTCTTATTACTTTCATTTATCCAACCACTTTTACATCAAGGGTTGGTCTCAGTTTAACAAACATTAAAAATTGGAGAGCACAGAACAGCTTTTTTGCAATAGTATGAGAATCCTATGCAGTGAGCACCCATAATCTCACAAGGGCTCGAAATCTGGACCTTCAGGCCTCGTGATAAAACTGTAATCTTCAAACTACTGGGTCAACATTCACTAGTTCAACTACAATCAATTCACGATAATTTGCTGACTGTGAGATAGCTTTTTATCATTTACATAGTGAAATAATTGAATACTACCTCAAATTAATTTAAACAAAACACAGAAATTACTGGATACAATTAATTTAAAGTTTACGGGTTTACCACGAGATACAAAGGTCCTAGTTTCGATTTCAGGCTGGGTGAAAGGTACTGTCTGGTGAGAATTTTCTTACCTGGATGAAACGGCTGTCCAGTACTCTTCGATTTTCAGTGGCTGCTTGATTAAAATCAGCCAAATTATAAAAACGTAATGAAATTGGAAAAGTTCCCTAGGTACCATTTTTCGTGGCACAGATCGCTTACCAGTGATTTTTGATCGGTTCTATCCTGATTCTTCATTCGATCTGTTATCAAGTTCTATTTGTGGTCTTGATATCTTCTACCGACTCCCAAACCCACACATTATTTGTCGATAAATAATGCACTATGTAGAGTTCGCCGTGAAAACATTTGTAGCACATGTCCAAGCCACTGAATTTGGTGTTTCAAGATGGTCACAATAACTGAATTATTATCATCGTGTTCGAACCTCTGAATCACTAGCATGACATTGTCATGTATATCACTGATACTTCTCAGATAAGGAAAAGCTTCCGGCACTAACTGGACCACACCGTCAAGTGTGATTCGGTAGATCCTCATTGGGTCGCATTTCTAAATCTTGCTGTTTCTCTTGTGATCATGGGATTCACTTTTATGGAGTCCCCACCCATTCGAACTATCGACGTCTGAACTGGTTTCTGTGTATACGGTAGGAGGTCCAATTCATCTGTAAACTATAAATAGTCTAGTGGAGTTCAAATTGTCCACTGTATTCCTCGTTTCTCTCGAGATGTCGAACTCTTCATCATCCAGTCAGCAACCAGAACGATATAGAAATGAGAGAGTAGACAATGCTGTCTGACACCATTTCTCACTTGAAACACACATGTGATCTGTGCACCATCCAACACTTTGCGATTCAGTTGGTCTTCAGAGTTCCGCATGATGGTGACAATCTTTACAGACACTCCATGATGCCGAAGAGGGTTCCACAGGGCTTTCTCGTTCACACTGTTGAATGCTTCTTTACCATCAAGAAAGTTGGTGTACAGGAATGAGTTCCATCCAACTGATTTTTTTAACAATGATCCTCAGTGTCACGATATGGTTAGTAGACGACTGATCCTTGAGATAGCCATCTTGCTGATCTCAAAGCTGAGCGTTTATCGAGTCCTTCGTTCTTGTTCATTCCAATTATTATTACCATATTGTTTACAAATTCTGAATTCTAGCCAAATCCTTGATGTTGTTGAGTCTTTTAATAACTGTCTTATTTTTGTTTTGCTTAACATACTTTTATAGAGGTCGCCATTTGGACTGCTATACTTTGGTTGATACTTTGTGAAGTTATTCCTTCTGTTCTATTTGGTTGATTTTGAGGCACGTTCCCTGCTTGTTTTAGGGATATTTAATATTAATAACTGTCAATTAATTGTGATCCTCATATAATTATTATTCTGTAGCTGATTGCCCATCTTGGTAGCAAACTGCATTAACTTACTCTTTTTCTTTAGGTAGAATACTGTTCCTTGACTGATAGGACTATTTTTTCCAATTGTGATGATTGGGCTTTATCAAGTGTCTGTACCAGTTGGAAAATGTACCGTTCAAGTGCCATCAGTTTTATTCGTACTTACATTTTTTTTCTATAGTGCCTCTTCTGCATATCTTCTGAACTATTATAAGCATCTTCCAGGTTATTACAAGGAAGTTATAAGCTATTATCGTTTTTTTTAATTATTAAGCTACAGAGAGCATGACTGTCATACTATCAATGTCACAGACACATTGAAGCAGTTCAAATTCTTAATCTTACAGCACCGAACGTCTTTTATCGAACTGTTTTTCTTTGGTTATTGAACGACGGTGTTCATGGCTGGGCCGGGTGGGTTAACAACTATAAGCTGGTCACTTTGTGCTATTTCGATGTCTGGTAGGTTCAATAGTGCTAGTTTATTCAAAACTTCATCAAAGTACTCTATCAGCCTATCCGCTACTCCCAAACCTCAGTGATTGGTTTGCCTTTCTTAATCTTGACTGGTCGCACTTATCTACCGTATAATCCCCCACGCTTATTCGTATTAGCAATTATGACAGCGAAAATCAGCATTATACTCAAAGGAAACAGTTTAAATTAGTGTGAGTCAAACAAAGTGTACATAACATTTCAATAATATTTCACTAATACTAAAAACATTTAAGCTAGCAACCAGCTGGTGATAATCTGAAGTTATTAGCTCCTTGATCATTTTTTAGTTGATTTTCAAAATGGTGTTTTCTTCTAGTAGATCATATTGATCTTGAACCTAGTTGTTGAGAACTACCTTAGATTTGCTGAGTTCTTAGCATCTCAAAGGAAGGCTGTATTAAACCTTTATACTACTGTTTATTCAAATATTCAACACTTCTCCATTTTCAATTTTGGATTGATCACAACCAGGTGTTGGTCTGAAACTACACCACCTTCTCTCTTTCTCCTTACGTCTTCCATGATCCTTCTGAATATTTTACTTGTCCATATCTAATCGATAGGATTGACTGCCGTGTGGTTTGGTGAAACCCGTGTACCCTTAGTGTGTGCAATTGTGGGGAAAATGGTAACACACAAAACCATGTTGTTGAAAGTGCATAGATCTATCGGCCTCTCATCATTCTCGTTCATTTCTTCAGTCCATGTCACCCTATGACGCACTTATATATGGTGCTACTCATCCAGATGTTAACGTTATGACTGGTGGTCGACTGCTATGACTGCGTTACCAATTGGTATATCTGGTCGTCGCTGAGTGTTATGTCGGAATCGCTTATCACGCATACTTATAAAGCGAGGAACCACTGCAATTCTCACGATGAGAAAGTAAGAACACAAAGACTGGTACAAGTGAAGACTTATTAACCCAAAAACACGACGACGACCCTAGTCGAAAATACACTCATTTCGATTAATAGTTAGGATAAAATTACATGAAAAATACTTAGTTTTAACAAATCATATGTTACATGATATGTTGACCATACTTCATGTTAATTTAACACAAGAACATCGTATGTTATACAGAATAAAATATCACACGGGAAAACAGAAACAAATACTACATTGAGTAATCATCAGATTGAATTAAAATGGAAGTAATGTTGAACAAAAATCATGATGAGTAAATCAATCTAATTTTGACTTTTCATCCCGTCATATCAGTTAGTGTTCGGGTCGTCCATCCGAACGACTAGGTATTTACTTGGGTATTTCTACAGGATTAACTACAGTCTCCCATAAAACTGGTTTCTGTCACATTCACCTCCATCGTTCATAGGTGCATATCAATGAATCACATTCATTTCGGTCCTTCCCTTCTTTGTTCTGAAAGATCACACGAAGATCCTACAGTCATGAGTTTCTCATCCGAAAAGTGCTATTGGTGGTTCAGTACAACCCCATATGTGTGTGAGCATATTCCTCTTCATAAACAAAATACAACAGCATCTTTCCAGAAACTAGCATTTTCTGTTCAGTTTGCCTCCGACATGTTATGGTTACGCCAAACATGGTCACCTTCTATCTTCTTATTTCCCATGTTGTTCAGATGACCCTCTCAGTCTCCCGAGTTGTTCGGAAATTCTACATACGCTTATTGTTGTCTTCATCTTCAGAGGATGCATCGTGTTCGTGGCTTCTGAAGTATCTCAGCTCCTATAATGAGGCGTCATAACCTTTCCATAGGGACACCATCCAGATCCTAAAGCAGTGTCTGAAGACTCTAAATGATTTATCCTGGTTATCGTTTGTTTATCAAGGTTCGTCTTTATGAGGTGGTGTTGTTAACAACACTTCCAACCCTCCTGTTTCCAGCGAGTTTGGCATTGACAGAGATCAGAGAGGGGCTTTGGATGGAGTTCGCTGTTTTTTCTGACACTATATACACTCGATGGACTATTGAGTTCAAGTCCGTGTATGGAATCACAGATTGTGTACGAGATGGATTTAGTATTCGATGAAGTAACTAAACAACATAGTCTATGATGAGTAGTTTCCATTCCATTTTTGCTTACTAGGTTCAAAAGTAATGTTGAGTAACATAAAAAGACTTTGAGAAACGATTCAAGTGCTCGGAAGTGTAAATGATAAAAGATGGAAGGAATGTTAATTTAATGAGGTAAATTAGATAAAAATCTGTAGGATATCAAGGTTGTATCAGGTAGATAGCAAAAATCGTTGTTGAGAATAGTAACATCCCCAGCAGCACGATTTCTACTATTAATTATTGTAAACAACTGTTCAATACTGCATGATTTTCAATGGTTCATTAGTTGGTGTCGGTTCGTGTCAA